CATGAGAGTAATTCTTAACACTTCTGTTGAATAACTCAATCGTTTTTTAATTGTTTAATTATAAAAAAAAAAATGCGAGAAAGTCAAATTTCGAAAAATTTGACTTTTTTTTTACTAAAAATTTCATTTTTTAAGATAAATAAAAATGACCTCCGGAGTTCTATTCCGGATATCGCATACTTTGAAAAAAAGTGGTGTCATGTCGAGCTTTTCAAAAAGTATATTCATTTGTGCAATTGAAGTCGTAAATTTCCATGAATCTCAAAAAAATCTTCAAACAATAATAGATGGTATCACAGATACCATTTTGAATGATATCTTCGAAGCAAGAGCAACTCAAAAATTGTCTGGGGTCATCTAGACCCCTAATGACCACTACGGGTTAAAAGTTGAAAAAAATTTTGGCTTTCATGTTTTTGGATAAAATTTCTATTTTATCTTTTTTTGATATATTTTTTTTTGAAAAGTACATAAAAAAACGAATATTAAAAAAAATTAACATGGCCCAGCTTAGGTTGACTCTACTAGTAAATAATCACCTTAATTTGATTATTGTGGTTTTTATAAACTTTGAATTTTTTCTAAATTAAATTTTTAATTTGAATTTTCCTTATTAAATTTAAACGAAAAATTCCATCTACAGATGAAGCATATAAAAAAAAAACCATTAAGCTTGAGAAGAAATTCCTTTATCTGTAGATGTCATATCATAATTTCTAGAAGTTTCATGTCAAAATGTTTAACAGGTTATGGACCAAGATAAATGTAAAAAATATTTCTTCAAGTTGAGAAAGAAGTTACCTAAATTATAAGAATGTTTCTTAACTTTTTGAATAATAGTTCCACAGGACAATACTAAAACATGATGCTGTTACCGGATAATATAAATTATTTAACTATTCGGACATCATAATGAAATGACCTAAATACTTGTTAAGCATTGCACTTATTTAATTACCCGACAGCATCTTCAAACTTAACATTTTGTTCTACCCTGAAGCCTTTGTCTTATAAAATACATGTACACAACAAACTTGTATCAAAAGTTAACACTTTATAAAGTTTCACATCCACGAGATCCGAGTTTAAAAACTCACTAAATTTTATTATATTCTTCTTTTATACACTCGTGTATTTTGTTATCTAACGTGTGAATGAATAACTTATGTATCAAATAACGTTTCCAATTTTTTACTACAAAAATTTAGATTCAAAAGTTTGCAGTTGTGACAATAAATAGTTGATCCTAATTTATCTAAACAGCGACAAAAAAAATTAATTTTTTATTATTATTCATAGTAAAATAATAAATGTCTTTGTTAAATAATTTGTTTGGAATTTATACGCTGACTTGAAACATTATAATTACTAACTGACGCATAGCATTTCTTTGTGATGAATAGTAATAAATTACAACAACGTAATAGGAATTTTATCGAATTTTTTTTTAATTTACCCATAATTATTAACCCATTTTTTAGCAATTAATTTAATACTTTCATCTATAAACTATAGAAAAAAATTTTTTTATTTAGCCATCAATTTTGCAGTATGCAAAAGCCCGTAAAAGCAAAAACGACAATATAAAACTCGCTTTGATCTTTGAATTAATTAAATAATTAATCAGTTTTATCTTAGAGGAAAATTATCATATTTAACATGCTTTGAAAACTAAATTTTTCATTCAATTATCTTTGTCTGTAGATATGGTAAATTAGGTTTTTGATCATTGTTATATTTTTTTATAAAAAAAATTTTAGACAGTAACATGACGGAGGTTGAATAAAAAAAGCGCTTCGTATATTCTTCTACTCATTAAAAACACATGAACATGCTTTCGTTGGGTCAAGCATAAAATCATTATTGATCAATGTAAAGTAGGGTAAAAATACCAGTTTTGGGCGCCGTATGTTCACTTATTATTAGGGGAATACGAAAAAAGAAAAAGGGCAACTTTTTTCTATTCTACAGAAGTAAATTAAAAAAAAATTTCCATATCCTGAACCAGGAATCGAACTCGTACTCTTACGCCCCGACAGTTTTCCGAATCGAGCCGGGTTATTCATCAGTGATCTATCTCAATAATATAAAAAACGTTATTTGGCCATACCCGAGATGGAATGATAGATTTATTAAATAAATATTAAAAAAAATGTTTTTCGAATTTTTAAATCACGAAATAAATGGAAAATATCATCAAAAGTGGACGAATAATAGCTTAAATTGAAGAAAATAGTGTCTAAGATAAATTTAATAGTTTTAAGCTATTTTCCACAACTGAAAAATTATTTAAGAATAAATGATCAAAATACATTTATTGATAAATTTTTTTTAATTTTGCTAATCACAAAATAAATTGAAAAAATTCTCAAAAGTGAACCAATAGTAACTCAAATTAAATGTATTTATGTGAACCTTAAGGTAGATTTAATAAATTTGAGCTATCGTGTACGTCTGGAACATTATGCCGATGAAATTGACGAAATTCAAAATTTTTCGGAAACAAAACAAATTATCAAACACCCACAACTCGTAAACTAACCAGCCAATTTTGCTTATTTTCAAACTTGATCTCGATAGTGATTCACAGAATAAGACCACGAATTTTCATAAAGATCGGTTAAGAACTGAGGACGCAATCCTGCTGACATGGTACGTTATATCACATAATTATGTAAACTTTTGGGCCAATGTATTTTTCGGCATATGATAAAGAAATTTTCTTCAAATTGCGACATGGCCAGCTACAATAGCTAGATTCTAAAAGACATCTACCTAATAATTACTCCATTGAATTGTAAAATATACCTTTCATAAAATTTATGATTTATTAGTTAATAAAAAATCTGACTGTTTTAAAGAAAAATGCATTACTTGTAAGTATTTAAAATATATGTATAGTAACAATTATAATGTAAAACAGTAAATTTTACTAAACATCTGGGTATAAGTACCTTAAGTATAATGTACTTATTCATTTCTACAAGTCTTGCTAAATTATTGAGATTCGTTTCCTCGGTGTACGATCAAAAATTTAATTCTAGCAAATAAACTTCTGAAGAATTTATAATATTCTTCCTATATTGAGAATAATAGGTACTCTTGTTAACAAGTATTTCATAATTCAATAACTTGATATTCTTGATTATTATCTCGATTTTCGAAGTTTATGTAGATATATTCGGTTCAAAATTAATTATCCAAAGCAGTGATAAGAAGTATTCATTTTCCGACTGGAAAATTAGTCTATGAAAATTTTTTTTTATCGATATACATATTAATAATACAGTGTATCGTAAATTAAGTTGCCAAAAACAGAATTATAAATTTAGCTTATCTTTAATTACATAAGGTATAATTATTAGTTCTCATTCAATTACTATACATTTCTTTTTTTAGAGTTCCTTAAGAACACATTAAAATTTTTATATTGGATAGTAACATTATAGACTGATATAGCTACACAATATACATTTTGATAGCTGATTGTTTTATTGATTTTTAGAAGGACTAACAGCTTAGATGTTGTATTAACTACTTTCTGTAAATACAAGTTTTTACCCTATTCATAATAATAACAAAAAGCATTCACAATGAAAAACTCTTTGATTTTTAGAGGAGTAGTGTTCATATTGTATGAATTTATTTTGTTTAGCAGTTTAGTTTGAATAGCAGCTACGTTTTTGATATGATTAATGTTTCAATAAATTTTTCTCGTATGAAAAATTATTAAAAGAATTGAAATTTTTATTTATTTCTTGCCGTAGGTATACTTTAAAAAGTAAACATTTTTTCTTTAAAGGTAAATAAAATTTCTTTGCATGAAAAATGATGTCATGTTCTTTTCTGGACATTTGAGCATTTTCGGGCATTTCAATTTCCCTTATACTCAGACTCAGACGTCAATGAAAAATATGCGATCTTATTTCGTCCCTTTTTCCAATAATAGTATGATGGTAGTAAGAAAAAACCGTAAAAAAAAATAAACCAATTTATCGGTCCAATATATTTAACTTTACCAGCGTATAATATAATAACGTGATTCGATCACAAAATAAAGTAACAAATTGTTAGTAAAATATTTAGATAGTGAAATCATTTGACAATATAATAAAATATTACATTTCCCGGGTTCAATGTCACAAATCATAGAACAATTTTATTCATGCAGCATCATTTTTTTTAGACTTTTTACGTCAAAAGAGAAATCAGAATATACATATTTATAGTAAAACTTTTCATGTCGTTTCGAATTCTCTTAGTTATCGAGTTATTTTTAATCGTACTTAGCTTTTCTCATAAATAAACAGAAATTTGAAATTTTAATAAAATAACTAACGTAAATAATGAATATTAAAGAAAATGAATTGCCCATTCATTTAGTTTATTGTTTTTGTTTTCTGGTAATAAACTGTAACAGTTTTTCATTTTATATGAATTGTGAAATAAGTTTAAACAGGCGTTGTGAGAACTGTGCCATGTGACCTTTTGGCCAATTCTGGTATATATATTTTTATATTTTTTAATTATAATTTAAAATTAATTAAATGTATATAAAAAAAATAAAAACAAAATCTAATATAAAAATTTAATTCAAATTATATCATATATTTCCAATTTATTTTTGTAATTTTTCATTCATTTCAATTGCAATTATAATTAAAGTTTATACGAAAAACTTATAAATATTTTTAATACTATTTTTTTTTTTCATGGAGGTAAAAAAATTTTGAAAACTAATGAAAAAATTTTTGAAGTAAACTTTTTCTTAAATAATTTTCTTGACTCAAAATTTTTTTCCTTAAATCTATTTGGTTTTCTATCAGTATGATGAGGTTGAAAAAAATAAATATAAGAGTAGTGAGAAGAATAACCGCGCGAACGATTCATAAAAAAATTCTCAGTTGAAAAATTACTCAGCATATAAATTATAAGAAAACGCGGACACAAATATGAAATAAAAAAATAATGAGTTTGTTCTTGATATTTTTTGTATTTCAGCAGCTCCACTCAGAGTACAGGAGCACATATACATGGCATGAGTACACAGGGCCGCATCAGGAGCACACAGTTGTACGTCGTGCACCCCAAGCTCCACCAACTTCCAGTAAGTTTATTTTACAATCCTCTTTCCACCGACAGTCTTGAATAAAACAACTAAAAAAAAAATATATATCTTATTCTTGAAAAAAAAATGAAGAAACACAAATAATAATTGCAAAAAGACCCACAAACTATAAAACAAAAATAATAATATAATAAATAACAAAAAAAAAAAAAAAACGAAAACGTAATAGCAAAATAGGATCAATATAAAATGAGAACAAATTCAATACTATTGTTCTTTATTCATCTTTATATTACCTTGGCATTGTTGATTGATGTTCACATTGTTTTTTAGCTATATCCATTCCAAGTAATCGCTTGTCCATAGAATCATTCAAGAATAATACATATACATTTAGTATTTATAAATTATGATTATTCGAAATAAAATTAGACCTTTGAAATGAAAATATAATGAACATCAATTAAAATTGCAAAAAATTTTGAATTAATATTAAAAATATTCTTACGACTTTTTCTTAAAATAAATAGTTCGTTTTTGTTTTTAGGAGTGTTAGTCATATTATTCTTGGTCGTGCCTACACCTCGTGAACGTCTACACGTTTTTCATTGTTACACTAGATGAAATAAATTTATAATAATTGTTTTTTTTTTTATAAAATTTTTAAAGTTAATTAATTACTAGTATTAATTGTTTTTACTAGATTTTTTAATATATATGTATGAACATATATCTTTTGATCTAATTGTCTTAGTAATTAAATTTTGACCTACCGATCTCTACTGAAAATTATTTAGAAGACTGTTTAGAGTAAATTTAATCAATCGTGTTCATAATTAAATATTTATTTCTACTCAAACTCTTTGATATTTTTTAATCAAATTTTATTAAAATTCTACCTATATATTTTCCAATATATTTAGTTTAATGTTAAAAAAATTTTTCTTATCTTAATTTTTTTGTTTTCAAATAGGCATTAAACTGATATTTTTCAAAGATAAAAAATTAATTGATTTACAATTAACAAAAATATATTAGGCAAACTTTTTATTTTACATACGAAAAATTTAAAATTATTTTTTAATGATTAATCGACACTACCGATGTTTTTTGTATCAATTTTAAGGTAGTACTATCGATTTTAGAACTGCTGTTAAGAATGTAATAAAATTTGGTTTATTAGTAAAATGTAGTAAGACAATAATTAGATAAAATTTTTGATTATTTATTTATTAAATTTCAATGCAAAGGCTTTAAAAGTCAAATGGCAAAAAGATACATTACATAGATACAAGTTTAGATATTTATATATCAGTAATAATATTATTACTATAACAGAAAATATTTCTTATTAATAATTAAAAAGATTTAAACACAGCAATTTTTTATTTTCTCAATAGTTATACAAAAAACAAGTAAAAAATATTGAACTTTTAAAATTCTTGCGTTTTACATTGAGTCTTAATGAGACAATAAATTTACATTTTCATAACAGAATTGATTTTATTTTCTTTTACAAAAAGTACCATTACGATTTCAATAAAAATTGAGACAATAAGAGAAATGAGCATATTAAACATTTTGCATAATTGAAAAAAAAGATTTAGAAAATATGATAGTAATAATTAATACAAAATTATTTCTGTATTTTTTCTCTAACGCAAAATTGCATAGGTAAATTTATAACACCGAAAAAAAAGTAGCTTGATTTTATAATAAAATTCTTAAACCAAGAAAACAATTTTGAAGAGTTTCATGGTTTTGAATTAAGATGAAAAATTCATCATCAAACAAAATTTACTTAAACCAAGATGAATTTCTCAGTTTTAAGAATTTTTTTCCTTAAATCAAGATAACGAAGCTATATTTCAAAATGATTTTCTTAGTTCAAGAATTTTTCTCTTGAATTAAGTTGATTTTTTTTTTTTTTTTCATTGTACATAAATCAAACGAGACTTTATATTTGACATTTGACTCTTCAGTATATGCAGTACTACCTTGAAAAAACTAATAAAAATTTTCAGTTAAAAGAAATTATTCAAGTTACAATGAGTTATGTTAACTGAAATAGCAAACTTCTAAATAATTTTTAATGAAATATTTTGGTTGAGATAAAATTGGTATGCCAATATTTAATTCCAAAAACAATTATTATTATTATTATAAATATTAACATTAATTAATAATTACCATTTACATATTATAGTATTTTTCTAACTATTGTTGATAGTACTTTTGTTGTTTTGTTTCTTGTTACTCTTGCAGACACTCTTCACCTATTACTCTTCATTACACTTAACACTGAATTTAAATGTTGCTAGTTGTTTATTTTTATATTCTTAAAATGCACACTCTCGTGGATTATACATGTCAACGAGGATTCCTTTTTAGTACTTATATGCTTGAATAAGTCACAATCCAAAGAGTACATTTGCCCGGAAAACAGACGCTCATTATGTGCACATGAACGACGGCATCGCGTGTTCTGGGGATTCCCTAAAGAGCAAATGAAAGAGAGAGAGAGAAAAAGAGTAAGATGGTTCGAGGATGATTGCGAGGGTGAGAGGGTGAATGTGGGTGAGTGCCGCGCATAGTCTAACCTCCTGACCCCACTATTCCCTTAGTCTCTTATTATACCGCAATCAAGCATTTCGATTGGCTATATGCACAGAAATAACCGCAAGAATTCGACGCATTTATAATTAACTTATTTTTATTCACAAGTTTCCGTTCTGATTTCCAGCCAAGTGTCAAAATATTATTTGATAACTGAATATCTTCGCAATAGCAATGAGACAATGTTATATGTTTGGAATTTAGAAAGTCAGGGTTCAATTCCCGGCAGTGATACAGTTGGAAAATTGCAACAAGAATACATTTTCTACAATGTTTATATTATTTGATATTTGGATTTAAAATTTTTTCAAAATAAACACAGTATTAAATTTTAATAAAAAAATTAATTAGATAAATTTAGAAATTTTATTGACTCTAAATAAATTATTTATAAAATTTTTTTATACCAATAAAAATTGAATGATATTTTGATACAATTATAGGTGCTGTTAAAAAAAATGCGTCATATTTTTGATAAATTTCTGTCTGCACAATAACCATAAATTTGTAAATAAAATAATTTGTATATTGTTAATAAAATGTAAATGAATTGGAAGTAGTGAAAAAGGGGTGCAAAAGAATACTAAGTAAAAAGTTAAAAATTTGCCAAAATCGAAATCGGTGCCAGCTGCGAATTTTGATTGCAGCGAAGCAAGTGACCGCGAAGCTACAATCCGCCAAGTCAACTGAGGATGAAAATAATACCGAAGGTAAGACGAAAGTGACGTTACGAACGGGTGCTACGCAAACCAAACCTTTTATTATTATAATTATTATTATTACTTCTATTATATTTATATGTAAATTATTATTTCATTTATTTACTTACTATTATTATTTTCCACACACTGTAATTGAACTCTTATCTAATTCTATCTCTAATGTTAAATCTATTACGTGTTGATACGAACGTAAGAAAATGAGTCGTAAGAAATAAACAAAAATACACGCTTATGTCCTGCTTGCTTTTTTATTTAATTATGACAATGATTATGATTAATTAGCTGTTTATGTTTGTTTACACTGATAGAAGGATTTATTTGAGAAATTAAATTTGTCAGAATTTTATAGAATGAACAATAAGTATTTGTATTGAATTTTCATCAAATTTATCTGAAATTTTTTATCGAAATGAAAATGACTACTTTGTTGTTAAAAAAAATTTTTTTCTTATTTGCTTAAATGAAAGTAGGAATAAAATTTAGTTGATTCAAGAAAAATATTATCTTCAAAATTTCACTTTTGTTTTAAAATATTCAGTTTGAATTAGTTCAAAAATTCACAAATCAAATCAAGAAAATAAAACTCAAGAATAGAGAAGAAAAGTTTGCCATTCAATCATATTATAAATTCAAGGAAAGACTTTATTTTATGATCAAAAATAATTCCCGTGTAAAAATGATATGATATCATTATGAGGCTCATAATGAATATCATATTTTGGCACTAATATGAGATTCATATAATAAAAGCCATATAAATATATTTGAAACCTGTATTAAGTAAAATACTTATGAAAACGAATTTTTTTTAATTAGATTATAAAATTTTTATTTTTCTTGTTGGAGAAAGCAAATTTCTAGTAATTTAGAATTATTATTAAATATAAAATTTGATCCACACGGATCGGTCTCATGGAGATTCGTGACAAATCCATAATGACACGCGCATAATTTCATACCGAAGTTATAATAGTAACTGCGTAAACTTATGATGGAATCAGGCTGATATTTTTTTAAATTCATCATAATATTGTAATGATATTGTTGCCTTCTATTCATAATTTAAGAAAAAAACTTTTTTGTAACTGTTGGAAATTCATTAGGACATTAGTATCTCCATGATGATATTAACATAATTTCATTATGAAATCATAATGATATTAAAATGAATTAATAATTAAATGATGGTCATATCTTTATAAAATCATAATGATATTGTTAGTCTTTTTAAATCGTGATATAAAATTATTGAGTCATAACTATATACAGGAAATATTGCAAAATAATAAAATTAAAGAAATTTTTAGGAGGATTTGAATTGTTTTCAAAATAAGAAAATAATTATCTTGAGACGAAAAAATCTTTTCGATCAAAAATTTTTTATTAAACCAAGATAGTGTTTTTCTAAATATTCTTCTAAGTTAAGAAAGACAAGGAGAAAATTTAAGTAGTTCAACAGTATAGTGCATGATAAAAATACTGTTTTTCTCAATTGTTATACATTTCCTCTGATTAACAGAAAAAATGAAATTTTTACTGATCTACTTAAAAAAAAATTCGTTCCCACAGGTATTTTACTTATTACGGGTTTCTAAAGTATTGATATGGTTCTTATATTAGTGCCAAAATATGAGATTCATTATGATATTCATTATGAGCCTCATAATGATATCATATCATTTTTACACGGGTAAGTCTAAAATATATTTCAGAATAGATAGTAAAATATTTTTTTTTTGCAATTTTGAATGAAGAATTTGAGAAATAAACCTTTTAGATGAAGAGTTTGATTACAACTCACAAAGATAACATAGTTTTAAACTGGAGATGTAGAATTTAACTAAAAAAACGAGTTCCAAGACAAGAAATTCTTGAATAAAGACATCCGATTCTCTTTAAAATAATTTTCTTGGATCAATAAGTTTTTTTCAATCAAGTGAATCACTTTTAATGAAGAAAAAAACATAAATAATTTAAATATTTACCTATTCAAAAAAATTTCTTCTGTCAATGTTAGCCTGATGTAGTTTTAAAATTGCATAAAAGGTCGCAAGTGCATTGACCGGTAATTGTTTTTTGCTCGACTGGTATCCCCAAAAAAAGTTTGTTTCCAGTAAAAGTGCTAAAATTTTATTATCCTACATTCGTTATCTCTAACGACATAATTTAGAAAAGCAAAAATCGCGTGCTGAATCTCTGGTGTTGCGTGACTGATGTATGTTATAGAATATAGAGAAACCGTGAATTCCAAGTCACTAAAGTCGCATGTTTGGCGCACTACTGTTTAGTTTAAACTATGACTTTTCGACGAATCGATAGCTGCATTATATCTTGTGATACCTATAACCCGGTCTAATAAAAATAACAAGAATAGTACATATCGTATATAGGAAGTTGGATGATGAACCTCCCACTACTACCCGCCAACCTTCATCCGGTACCCGTTCCCTAGAGCTTCTCTAAATTCAGAATAACCAAAAACAGGAACAATATAAAAATAAAAACAATGCACTAAAATATAAATAAAAGATTGGAAGAACTTTAATAAAAGATAGCAAGGAAAAAATTTTTCCACGCATCGAGACTTTTCTGAATAACTCGAGCTTTATTTTTTGTATAAATATTTTTTTTCAATCGTCATCTTTTTTTCTTTTCGACAATAACTATTCGTGCACCTGCGACCCTAGGCGCAAGTTTTAAGGCTTGAGAGCTCGTGCATGCTGTTAATATATATATATGCTAGATTATGTAGAGTAACGTGCATAATAAAGTATTTTCTACTCATGGACTCATGACAAATTATTTTATACTTCAATTTTTTAAGCTGCATTAGTCCAAGCAAGTTTCGTGTTTTCAAATTGAGTATAAATAACTTTTATGCATTTCATTCTTGCATAGCGAATTAGATTTCATAATTAGGCTTCTGTTCGTATAGCATTGCTTCAGCTAAAAGGGTGTAGAATATTTATCGACCCTTTTGGGTTCTCAGGCAAAAAGGCGTATTAATATACTTTCCCAATCGATTGATAGGCTCGTTATCGAGCTAAAAATACAAAATTTGCCGAAAGGGTGAGGTTAATTATGTACTTTTTAGAATTGAAAGAGTTCGAAAGAAATATGACTGATTTCTATCTTATATTCGCTAGAGTAGATTAGGTTATTTTTAAAAAGTGAATTTAGATTAATTTCTTATAAATTTTTCATTTTTTAACTTAACTTTCAAATTCAAATTTATTTTTTTGGTAAAATTTAAAAAATACAAAAAGTCATTTTTTTGTAGAAATAAAAAAAAATGAATAATTTAATTTACTTTCATGATAAACGAATGTCAAAATTTGCTAAAATTACAACAGAGAAATTTATACTTTAATTTTAGTTTTAGACAGTAAGAATAAAGTTGTTTGAATTGAATAAAATTCAATTCAACTAATTATTCAGATAAGAAAATAATTATGATACAGAATTTAGCAAACATCTAACAATTCTTTAGATTTTTATAACAATTAGATTTTAATGAAAAAAATTAAACAAAAAAATTCCACATGTATTAGAAATTTTCAAAAATTATATGCAAATTTTTAAAAATATTTTTTTTATAAGAATTGTTAGAAGTCTGATAATTTCCATAAATAATTATTTAGAACAAATTTTTTGTGTCTCAAGAAAATTACACTGTTAGAAAAATAAACTTGATTGAAAAAAAGAAGTTTTTCATAAAATACATTATTTTGAAAAATTTAACTGTCTTAAATCAACAAAAAAAGTTGTTAAATAAAGTAAAATTTCCTTAATCAAAAAAAATTTCTTAATTTGAAATTTTTTTGTTCGATTTTAATTCAATTAAATTTATTAAAATGATTTATTATTTTCAAAACTTTTTCTTTAAATAAAGTTTTTATTTTTTAACAATGTACAAAAAAAGTTCATTCAACAATTTCATTGTATTTCTCTTATTACATACAAAATTTTAATTTGGAGCAAAAATAACAAAAATTTACAAGTATGAAAAAACTTAAAATTAAAATATAATTTTCCAGCAGAAAATTTAACACCGTCGATCGTTTTAACTTAAGCACTATTTTCTCACAAAATTTATTTTACAACTTATTACGTAATTTTTCACCAACTTTTCACGCGCTTACAATTTCTACAAAGGTTTTAAAATAGCAAAAAAATTTGGTATCCACCCTTTTGGCACTTTGCCTATCTCTCTGCTGTAATACGCCCTTTGGCTTTAAGAATCCAAAGTAATGTTTTTTTTTTTTTTTTTTTTTAAATAGTATAGGCAATCTATTATTTGAAATAGTAATTTGCGAGTATATAGCCAAGTTCGAGGTCAAGTTGATGCTATCGATCGCTCATGTCTTGTGTTATAAACATCAAAATCGCAATATTAATAAAAACAATAACAACAATTTAATATGAAATTATTGTTATTGTTACCATTGTGATTTTATCGAACAATAAACTGAATCGCGTTGTGCAACGGTGGATAATTATTCAATAAATTAGTGTATTGTCTGTAAAATAATGAATTTTGAAGAGCTGGTAGCTTTTGAGCGAGAGTTAATTAATAAATATTGAACCATAATGTATCACAAAGGCTAGCTGGGTCTCGAATGTTTGCGCTCGTGTTCGCGTTAGTGAGACATGAGGGATCGAGCTGGTCGTGCACGAGACGAAAAGCGGTCGAGGGTCATCAGATCGAGTTAGGAGTAAATAATAATAACGGTGCAAGTTGAATCATTAAATAGCGAGCTTTTAAATCCGTTCCCTGTTCTAGTCCCGTGTAAATTTTCCTTGCTGAATAGTAAGCATTTAATGTTCTCTCGAGCATTGACATTCATGATGAATACATATTGTGTCCAGAACGCTCTCAAAGTTACATGTGTATTGTATATACAAATATATACACCTAGCTGTGTTGAGTGCTTAGGGAGAAGCGGCTATACTATTTACGATGAATTGCTTGAATTTACAGGACCAACATTGGAACCTCCATTGCCGAGACGAAAGAAGTGCCCAGAGCTTGCTTACAGACATCATGAATTCATCAATGCCGCTGACGCTGGTGGAATTGATGCTGTGGACACCAATGTCGTTGCTGATAAAGTTCGGGTAACATTTTCATCATTTATTTAACGCTTTCGACCTATTTTCTCATCCAATAGTTGATTTTGTTTTTTATTTAGTTATTTTGTTACAGTAATGATTGAAATATATAAAAATTTATAAAATTTTTAATGTTTTTAAATACCCGGGTCAAAAAATTTAGTCTGTTTTATGATTAATAAAATTTTTTAATATTTTTCATTCAATTTAATTTTATTATGTGTATCTATTTTATATGAGAATTTAATCTGTTTTTGCCC